GACACAATTTACAAAGGATGTTGACAAGCTGGAATGTGTGCAGAAGACAGCAGCCAAGGAAATGAAGGGTCTGGAAACCAAGCCTTATGAGGAACAGTTGAGGAAGTTGGGTATGTGGCTTGGTAAAGAGGAGACTGAGAGGAGAGATAATAGCCATCTTCCAAAGTGCTGTCACATGGAAGATATGATATGGAATATCATTCCAAAGTGCTGTCACATGGAAGATAAGATATGAGGAGATATGATAGCCATCTTCTAAAGTGCTGTCACATGGAAGATGGAGCAAGCTTGCTTTCTCCTGCTCTGGAGGGTTGCACCCAAACCGATGCCTTCAAGTTAAAAGAAAGGAGATTCTGACTAAACATCAGGAAGAACTTTCTGACAGTGAGAGCTGTTTGGCAGTGGAGCAGACTCCCTAGGGAGGTGGTGGACTCTCCTTCCTTGGAGGTTTCAAAGTAGAGGTTGGATGGCCATCTGCTTTCACTGAGATTCCTGCATTGCAGGAAAATGGACTAGATGACCCTTAGGGTGCCTTCCAATTCTAACATTCTTGGATCAGAGCTAAATTGAGACTGGCCCCTTTTCACACAATCTGTTGTTGCTAGAATTAACCTGTGCTGCTCTTACTGTGTTCCCTGTTCTTGTCTCCATTAATCCCTCTCTTCTGAATTGTTTTGCAACCCACAGCTCCTCTTTAAAGAGGCATTGCACCACCTTACAAGCTCCATTGAGTTATCAATCACAGGACTCTGAGGGAAATGATTTCTTCCTCCTTCCCACCCCACCCCTTCATTTCCTCCCTTTCCATACTATCGCCTGTCTTCTCCTGTGTGAAAAGCAGGGAAGGGAAGATCTCCCAGGGTGAGAGAATGGGAGCAGAAAGGAAAGCTCCCAGGTGAGAGCTGGGAGCATCCTCCACTTTCTGTGCATGACAAAGGTTAAGTCCAGGAGTCAGCAAACTTTTTCACCAGGGGGCCAGTCCACTGTCCCTCAGACCTTGAGGGGGGGCGGACTATATTTTTTTGGGGGGAATTAACAAATTCCTATGCCCCACAAATAACTCAGAGATGCATTTTAAATAAAAGGGCACATTCTACTCATGTAATAACATGCTGATTCCCGGACCGTCTGCGGGCCGGATTTAGAAGGCGATTGGGCCGCATCCGGCCCCTGGGCCTTAGTTTGCCTACCCATGGGTTAAGAGCTACCTTTGAGAGAGGACTCTGTGGTTCTTTCTTTCTTTCTTTCTTTCTTTTGTTTTTATTTAGATTAGGTTTTTTTAGCTTATTGTATTATGAAAAGGCTTTAACAAAACCTTACAGAGGGAAAAACTCACTATCTCCCATCTTTCCATCTCCATGCTTCTTAGGTTAGTGTTCAGGTAAGCATGCCCATTTGTGTGTGTTGCCAAAATCCTAAAAACCCTCTCCCCTTTCGTTTTGAATCCTTTGGGTGTTTTGTAGAAGATCAGCCAAATACCATCACTCCCCCATGGACAACGTGATGGAAATCAGCCAGAATGTTTCATATTTTTACCTGGCTGATTTAGCACAATGGTGCCTTTGTACAAAGAGAACAAGATTTAAGTTTTAAAAAGCAGAATGCAAACTGTCTGGTGGTAGTGGTGGAGAGAGGCAGTCTAGACTCTGTACTCGCCATGGGGTCATGGTCCTTGTGTTGAGCTGTCTGTATTATTTAGCATAACTTGTCTCATGAGTCAAGGCAAGCACGGAGGATAAAGGTATCAAGGGCTACTAGCCACAATGGCTATGCTCTGCTTCCACTTTCAGATGCTCTACTTCCACTGTCAGAGCAGGCATTTGGTAATATGCCACAGAAAGAAAATAGAAATGATGGTCCACAGGTTCCTCTTCCACTAATACATCCAATATTCGTTGGATGTATTCAACCATGCTTTGCTCAGGGCAGAACCAATGAAATCAATGAATATGACTAAGTTAGGCCCATCAATTTCAATGGAGTAAAATTTAGTTGAATACTACCCATTATATTTAATCCAGACCAATCCCACTGAAACCAGTGGGGCAGGTTGGCCATGGTAAAGGTAAAGGGACCCCTGACCATTAGGTCCAGTCGTGACCGACTCTGGAGTTGCGGCGCTCATCTCGCATTATCGGCCAAGGGAGCCAGCGTACTGCTTCCGGGTCATGTGGCCAGCATGACTGAGCCACTTCTGGCGAACCAGAGCAGCGCACAGAAACGCCATTTACCTTCCTGCCGGAGTGGTACCTATTTATCTACTGGCACTTTGATGTGCTTTCGAACTGCTAGGTTGGCAGGAGCTGGGACTGAGCAACGGGAGCTCACCCCGTCGTGGGGATTCAAACCGCCGACCTTCTGATCGGCAAGCCCTAGGCTCTGTGGTTTAACCCACAGCGCCACCAACTCCAATTGATTTCCATGGGAAGCAAGTTCTGGATCCAACTCATTCTCTTCAGCTGCTATAGAAAGCACACTTGTCACAAAGTAATGTGTGCTGAACTCCGTGCTTAAGTTCAAACAAACCCATTTAGGACCAGGTGTTAGCGTCATAGGCCCTGATTCTGCCTTCATTGTTGTTGCAGTTCAGGCGAAACTTGGATAAGGAAAGAGACGAAGAGATTAGCTTATGATCTCTTTCTCATTTCTCCAGACTAGCTCGGCACCAGCCACCTAATTAATCCCGAGTTAAAGAGGAAAGAGTTTGCCTTGATATTTTTATACATTGATTCTTGCTCAACGTTAGATTTGCACAGCAACAGGCTTGCCAAAATCACTTTGCTCCTTGCTCCATATTTCATTTGTTAATTACACAGGCTGAACCTGCCAGGGGGATCCAGTTTGAAAAGCAAGAGTGCCTTGCGGCCACATTGGCATTTGCAATATCAAGCCTCCAGGAAAAGGCTGGAAGGTAGCTGGGGAAAATGCAATCAAGCCCCTCCTGGGCAGAAGACTAATTACTTGGTGCCAGTAGTTCTGGCCTGTTTCATTTCCATAAATGAGATGCAGCTGAAAACACTGTTGTAGCAGAAAATCGGCTGAGGTATGGCAAGCTCTTTCATTACGCAGTGTTTCACATTAGCATGAGTAATGAACATGAGGCTAGCTCGGTGGAGATGCTTTTTCTCATTCATGTTAAAGGAGCCATAACAAAGCAGGCAAGGCTAACGATTATGAAGGTTCTTCTTTAAAAAAAAAAATCCTGCTTCCTTTTGCAGGGTTGCTGACAGAGGCATGGACTAATGGGGCCATCATGACAGTGTGCTTCTGAATACCAGTTAATGGGAGTCACAGGTAAGGAGAGCGCTGTTGTGCTCAGCTTTTGCTTGAGGACTTTCCATGGGCGTTGGTCGGTCAATGTGAGAACAGAGTGCTGGACTAGATGGGCTGTTGTCCTAATCCATCTTATTCTGGGTTTACAGAAGAACACTTCTGCACTGCTGGAATGAATAATTTAGGGCCGAACTATCCACAATACGCAGGTGGCGCTGTGGGTTAAACCACAGAGCCTAGGGCTTGCCGATCAGAAGGTCGGCGGTTCGAATCCCTGCGACAGGGTGAGCTCCCGTTGTTCGGTCCCTGCTCCTGGCAACCTAGCAGTTCGAAAGCAGAAAATGCAAGTAGATAAATAGGTACTGCTCCGGCGGGAAGGTAAACGGCGTTGCTGTGCACTGCTCTGGTTCGCCAGAAGCGGCTTAGTCATGCTGGCCACATGACCCGGAAGCTGTATGCCGGCTCCCTTGGCCAATAAAGCGAGATGAGCACCGCAACCCCAGAGTCGGTCACAACTGGACCTAATGGTCAGGGGTCCCTTTACCTTTAATAGGATCTAATGCTTTGTTATTCTTCTGTCCTACAGACATGAACTGCTGTCTCAGAATACTCTTTCTGTCGTAGCTAACCAAAAAACTGAGATTTGAAACTGACAGGAACACTGCATAATTTTCTTTCCATCAAACTGAGTTGTGGTAAAATTTGGATATCATGCTTCAGTACAATTCCCAACTACTGATACTTCTGAAAGATGAAAGAGATGAGTGCCACAACCCCAGAGTCGGTCACGACTGGACCTAATGGTCAGGGGTCCCCTTACCTATCAACGATACACAATCAGAGGGTGCTTGTTTCCACCATTTTTTCCCTTTCTTCCACAAAATCATACCCTCCAACTGCCCCATTTTCAGTGGGACACTCCTGGATTCACAGAAGGATTACTGGCTTCTGTTTGGATCTGGGAATGTCCCCCTCCAGCACCACGGCTGCTGAGCTTGGAGGGGAGGAGCCAGCATTTGCCCCAATCAGCAGCAGTGAGGGAGCATCCCATTGCATCTCCATAGCCGCTCTTGCCAACTTCCTCCCTTGGGCAGCTCGTAGTGGCTGCTGGAGAGTTCCCCATAGAGGAGGGGCTGCCGACACTAAAGCCTGGCCCTGAGAGTTGCACCTCTGGCCCTTCCACTGCATGAGCCACCAGCGCTGCAAGGATGATCTCCCCACAGGAGCTGTCCTCGCCTCCCTCGCATGCTGGAGCCCAGCAAAGGAGAGGCGTGGCACTGCCCCTGCCACCACTCCTTTTCCCTGTTGCTTCCGCTCCTGGTGTTTTGACGTCCTGGACCCAAAGGTAAGAATGGGAGAGGGTGTGCAAAATGCAACTGCAGCCACTGGACTGTAAATGCTGTGATTCCATCATTTCCCATAAAATCAACGGTGTGCAATAAAAAGTGAAAAGCCATCACTATGTATGTGTGTGGATCTAATCTATGCTTCCAGGTGCCACAAGAAAGCTGCAGAGATAGTGCAGGATAGTGCACACCCCGGAAATGATCTCTTTCAGCTTCTGCCTTCTGGAAGAAGGTACAGGGTTATAAAGACTAGGATTAGCCACCTGAGAAACAGTTTCTATCCAAATGCAATTTTAGTTTTAAACGCAGTGGAAGGTAGTTTCTATGTGAGTATATTGTATTCAATTGTGGGGTATCAGAGTTTTTAGGGGCTAACCAGGCTGGGATAGTTGGGATTGCAGGCTTGTTGGTTTTTGAATGTCTGATGTAGATTTTTTCAATTTCGTTGTTCTGTATAGGACAATGACAATAAAGATTATCGTATTGGTGTGTGTGTGTGTGTGTGTGTGTGTGTGTGTGTGTGTTCTTGACCCTTTCTGGCAGTTTTTCAGCTACAAGTTGTTCTGTCCCACCACCCAACCCCTCCCTTCTCCCTGCTTCTCAGGGAGAAAATCTGATATCTTTCCTCCTATGGGACAAAGAGCAGCATATCCCTGTGACCCACAGGCCCCAAGTTGCATGCCTGTAGTGTCTTTCTCAGCTCCCCCCCCCCCAGCTGGAGGGCACTGAGAAGGACTCGACAGCTCACAACGGGGCAGGGTGCTGTGATGTGCCCCCCCTGCCCCCCCAGAAACCTGTGCCAGGGGCGACAGTTCTCACAGCCCTCCCCCTGCCAATTAATCTTTTGAGCGGTTACTGGAATAGTCCTGAAATACATATAAAGAAGGGTGGTATATAACAACCCCAATAAAATAGTCAGTTTAGGGTTAGCATCACACAGCATTTTGGAACACCTCTTCCCCTTGTCTTATGTCAAATGTTTCATACAATCAAATCTCCATCTCAGGAGCGGAGCACAGCTGGGAGGCAGCTGGTTCCTGCCCACTGTACAGCACATGCTCATGAGGAACCTAGCGCTAAATCGTCTATAGGCAACCTGATTCTAGATCAGGGATCCTTATGTAGCAAAGCAGGTAACTCACTTTGATCTAATTGAATGTTAGCCCTCAAAACAAGCTCCGTGGAGGTCATAGGTCAGTGGGAGAGTATCTGCTTTGCACACAGGTCTCAGATTTGATTCCTGCCATCATCAGGTATGTTTGGAAAAGACTCTGTGTCTAAAACCCTGGAGAGCTGCTGCCAGCCAGTGCAGACAATACTTAGCTAGATGGCTCAATTGGCCGACCCAGCTTCCTGTGTTCCTAATCACATTAATGTAAAGAGGTGATTCAGGAAATAACTTGACTATGAATCCATCTGGTAGAGATTGCAAAGCATGAGCTGCTTTAACATCTCCTAATAGGATCTAATGCTGTGTTATTCTTCTGTCCTACAGACATGAATGGGCGCAGGTGGCGCTGTGGGTTAAACCACAGAGCCTAGGTCTTGCCGATCAGAAGGTCGGCAGTTCGAATCCCCGCGACGGGGTGAGCTCCCGTTGTTCGGTCCCAGCTCCTGCCAACCTAGCAGTTCGAAAGCAGAAAATGCAAGTAGATAAATAGGTACTGCTCCGGCGGGAAGGTAAACGGCGTTGCTGTGCGCTGCTCTGGTTCGCCAGAAGCGGCTTAGTCATGCTGGCCACATGACCCGGAAGCTGTATGCCGGCTCCCTCGGCCAATAAAGCGAGATGAGCACCGCAACCCCAGAGTCGGTCACAACTGGACCTAATGGTCAGGGGTCCCTTTACCTTTAATAGGATCTAATGCTTTGTTATTCTTCTGTCCTACAGACATGAACTGCTGTCTCAGAATACTCTTTCTGTCGTAGCTAACCAAATAACTGAGATTTGAAACTGACAGGAACACTGCATAATTTTCTTTCCATCAAACTGAGTTGTGGTGAAATTTGGATATCATGCTTCAGTACAATTCCCAACTACTGATACTTCTGAAAGATGAAAGTAGAAGTTGGTTTAAACTCAGTCCTCAAAGTTGCTTGAGAACATAATCCTAAAGAAGACAGATTTAAATCACTACTGCATGAGCCCTAGATCTGGCCTTAAATCAAAGCCTCTAAACATTAACTTTGAGGGAGACTGAGGTCAACCTCATGTTACTAGATGGAGAGGCATTTCTATTAATCGTTATCTGCATTTCATTAACAGGTAGAAAAACACCATTAAATGGGGAATTTTGGCCATAGTCAAGATAATATGATTTTCAACACTATGGTTTTTAAAAGTTTAAGCAACTTTTATCGAGCCATTTATGAGTTCCTCCTTAATGCTCAAACATAAGAACAAGACCAAAAGAAGAATGATAATCTTCTTTTTATCATTTTATACTGAAATGTTGTGCATTATCACAGTTCTGCGATGTTCCTTATGTTAGAAATGTTGATTCTGCAGTCCAGGATGAGGCAGATTGGACTGGTTCCACCTCAAAGAATTAACAACATTTTCGTACGGTAATAAACATAGTAGAACTCTCACAATTGGCCCATGTACTTGTAAACCCTGAGGGATTAAGAAAAGTTTGTGCAATGGCCAAAGCTCTTAGCTTTCACAGAGAGGCTTTATTTTTCTAGTCATTCAGAATACAAATAGCTCCACACAGAAATGTCATGAAATGCACGGCTGAGTTCATTTCTGGTACTGTAACAAGTTACAGAGCAAGACATTGGATTAGGAATAATCATTCCGTATCTGCAGAAACTGATATGCCAGTGTCAAGCAGCTGTTACATGTGACAATTCAAATTAGATTTAATATATGGAACTGTTCATATTTCAGTCATTAAACTAAAGTGATTTAGAAACAATATACTACAATAACAGAATGCCAGATGGGCATTATCTGTAATATGGCTAACGTAATGGAACAACTATTGCCCCTCATCCGCCTTCTTGGGATCAGAGGTATTTTGATCTTTATACGGTCATAAAACCAATAATTATGCAGCCATTTGTTCTCCTTCCTGTAAAATGCAGAGAACAAGAAAAACGAAACCTCATTCATTTGTACATTCATTCAGATATCTAGCAAACTGATTTTTGGAAGACCATGTGGGTTACAATTTTTCAATATCTAGCCAACTGATTTGTGGAAGACCATGTGGGTTCAATTTTTCAATATTTCCCTTCCTAGGATAGATGGTGATATTTTATTCATAGAGGTGATTAGTGAGGGCGCTGAGCAAACATTGTTTAACACTGGGGTCCCACCTAACTCAACAGTACAGTGCTATGTGTATGTTTTATTGGAAGGAGGTACCACTGAGTTGAGTGGAATTTACTCCTAGCAGGGCCAGCCCAAGGCATTTTGACACCTGAGGCAAACCACAAAATGGTGCCTCCACCCCCCCACACAAGGGAAGAAAGAGCTAGTGAAGATCTACATTAGGAGCAAGGGTAGGAGGAGGCCAGGAGTGCCTCCTGCTCACCAAGAGGCCACTGTAGAGGCAGCATTGGAGGGGAGGGGGTTGCTGAGGAGACGTCAGAACCAGCCTCCAAGGAACGTGCCACAGCTGTCACTGCCACAGCAGCAGCAGTGGCAGGTAATACATTCCTTAGAAACCGGATCTGCTGCCTCTGTGGATCCTGCCACCCAAAGCAGTCACCTCATCTTACCTCATGGGTGGGCTGGCCCTGATTCTCAGGTAAGTATGCAGCATTGCAACCAAAAATCATCTCACCCGTCAATCGCTGTGTTCTGCAGGTGAGAGCCTCTTGCAGATACTATCCTATTATGAGGTCCATTTTGGACAATACAGTGGTACCTTGGGTTAAGAACTTAATTCGTTCAGGAGGTCCATTCTTAACCTGAAACTGTTCTTAACCTGAAGCACCACTTTAGCTAATGGGGCCTCCCGCTGCCGCTGCTGCGCGATTTCTGTTCTCATCCTGAAGCAAAGTTCTTAACCCAAGGTACTATTTCTGGGTTAGCGGAGTCTGTAACCTGAAGTGTCTGTAACCCGAGGTACCACTGTATAGGAATCAAGCCTTTAGTGTTGTGGCACCTCCCCTGTGGAATTCATTCTCGTTCAATACTCGACAGGTGCTGTCCCTGTGATCTTTTTGGCACCTATTGAAGACCCAGGGCTTTTTTTCAGCAGGAACTCACCCAAACTCAGTTCCAGCACCTCATAGGTGAGCACCATTGCGATTGTAAGAGAGCAAGGGAGGCATTCATGGTGAGTTCCCACATCTCTTTTTCCTGAAAAATAGGACTGTGGAGACCCTTCTTTTCCAAAAAGCCCTTTAGGTAGAATTCTTTCCCAGTATGCATGCATACTGGAATTGTTTTCAGGTGTTTTTGTTTTAATTGTTTTATTGTTTCTGTGTTTGCCACCCTGGGCTCCTTTGGGAGGAAGTGTGGGATATAGACTTAATAAATTAATAAAATAACACTGGTGCATCTGAATATGTGTATTTTGCAGATATGACCCTGGAATACTGCTTGTTATAATACTGTGGCTCAAGAGTTAACTATCTCAGTTGTATATGTGATGAAGATTTGAAAGGATGCCTATGTGAGAGAGGGGGCGGTATTGCATTGATCAAATGTGTAGGACGTATATTGGCAGTATTTTTCATGCAGTCACCACCACTTGCATTAGGCAGCTAGGATCCAGACAGGTAGTCTGAACTTATAGATTCAACCCACTCAATAGCCATTGTATTTCTTCTCTTTGATGTTGCTGTTCCATCCCGTTTGACAGCTATGGAAATATTTCTTGGCCCAGGATTGATTGCCCCAATCAGATTTTCTTAGTCTCCTTGCATCATCTGCACACACTAGGACTCCAAAATGAACGTTCAGTTAGTTCTAATATGCATTTTGTTTTCTGTCTTTATTTACATGATCTGTGGGTGACATTATATATTTGTTTCTTGCTTTTAGGGTTTACTCCTCTTCTGCTTTATCTAAACACTTTTACCTATGAGAAGCATTTTGCCTCATCTATAGCACCATTGGGGGTTTTGCCATTGACATAGGTAAGTCCTCCAAGCTTCCATAGGTTCTGAAATCATTTCAGATAGGGATGCAACCAGCTGCTCAGGGAAATCCTTGCATAAGCATATGTAATTGCACCTTTCATAAGTGCTGCACAGCGGTTGATAAGAGAGGCTGCTGCATGTCCAAACTGGAAAGACTGTAGTCACAGTACAAATTAGGTTTCCGAAATCAGGAACAATGTGCCATGGGACAACTCAGCAAGCATCACTCTTGCTCCTGTGACACACTTCAGATTCTGCCATTGTAATTGCACCAAGAATCAAACTCGCTTGCAGTGCGAATTTCAAGGGTGAGTAGAGCATTGGATGCACCCAGCATAAACTCGCCCACACATTTTCAGTGCTACATGCAAGTGATCCTAATGATGTACTTTTTAGTTTTAAGGAAGTGTGAATTTGGTAATTGCAATGAGAAAAAATTATTTTTCATTCAGTTGAAAGTCTACTTTAAAATGATGAATTAACTCTAATTATCTGATGGGCACCTATATACACACACACACACACACACACACACAAGCACCATTTCAAAGATGTACATAATGAGTTGTCCACCAC